AGGTGACGAATCATGGCGTATGAGCTCGAAAGGGAACAGCAATCGACTGTAAGTCTTTTAAAATGAGCCAAATCCAACAAACGTTGTTCGCGCACGAAACACATTTAAAGCCGGGTCCAGACACTAAGTTTTGCACAACGTTTTACCTGCGCAGTCATAAAACGAAAAGAAAACATTGCAAATGAAGAGCGTCCACACAGTGCAGATAGTCTGTATTTAATTACTCAGTTTTCGCGGAATCGACCATGGACGAAGTACTACTCTGGTCAAATGTTGTAAGAAAGAAAAAATTAATATTTTTTATAATTGTTTCTTTATTTGTTACAGCTTCAACTTCTCTGAATTTTTCGATTAAAATTTCTTATGTGTGGCTCTTTTTGTTTCTGTCACCATATTCCCTTGATTTCGCATGGCAGACACGGGAAACTTTTATACAAGGCAATAAATTATGTTTAAACTCACGGGGATATTGACGAAGGTCCGCCATTTTGTGGTAATTTACCTATACAAATAGGCCGATGTCAGTTGAAGAATCAAGAGGATGACAGTATGTACCAGGTTCGGTCGCTGACGGAGCAACTCGGCATTGAAATATTTGAAAAACTTGTTCTCCTATTTATTTAGCCATACCCATATACAGGTCTGATCGAACTAAACGTGGAGGTGGTAGAATTGTATACGCCCAGTTGAAGAATGTGAGCGCGGGCAAACGAAATACAAATACAGTTGCATTGGGCTACTGGGCAATAAATCTCAGCCGTTGACAAGTGGTCGACAAATTGCCCAGCAGTGCAGTGCAGCAATGCAGAATTTGGTGTGATTCAGGTAATTTTAATTTATTATAGGCACCTTCTATTAATCATTGATATTACATTGGCGACAGGGAGAAATAATATTACTACAACATGGCATTTTGGAGACCTCTTGAAACGGAACAAAACGAAATTTACCATCAATATAATAAAATTGTTTGAGGACATAAATAATTAAAATATGTTGTTGGCCAAATGAACATATAACAGAAATTTTCTGCACATTATATACAAATTATTATAATTTTTTACCTTCATCAGAAAACTTTTTTAGGGACGCCTATGAAACTCATTAAATTTTATTGTCAGGCGTTTTTTTACATGTTCAACTGACTTCGGAAAGACTATACTGCGGATGACTCATCAATTCGACTTTTTCAGTTCTCAAAAAGTTTCTTGTTTGAGCCGTTGTGTGAGAGAGCTCGCTGGTGGAGAATGATGCGTCAGTATAGTTATAATATAAATATACAGAATGAACAGATAATATTATTTCTCTCTTTGACAATAATTGTAATATCAATTCAGTCATCAATAGAAGGTGCCTATAAAAAATTAAAATTACCTGAATTATACCAAAGTCCTCATAGCTGCATTGCACTGCTGGGCAATTTGTAAACACTTGTCAACAGCTGAGATTTATTGCCCAATGCAGCTGTGTTAGATTACGTTTCGTTTCTTCAACTGGGCGTATACATTTCTACCACCTCCACTTTTAATTCGATTAGACCTGTATATGGGTATGGCTAAATGAATATGGGAACAAGTTTTTCAAATATTTCAATGCCGACTTGCTGCGTCAGCGACCGAATCTGGTACATACTGTCAACGTCGTGGTTCTTCAATTGATATCGGAGAGACTATACAACCCTGGTTTGGCACCCAATGACTCCCGTACATCAAAAATAAATTACGAGGATAACGTTTTTCGACGCCTGAATAAGTTGTTGATGCGTTCAAAATGTATGTTTTGGAGGTACCTTAATCCGAATGGAAAAAGTGCTTCGAAAATTGGTTCAAGCGCATGCTAAAGTGTATTGATCTTTATGGAGAATATTTTAAAAAACAATAAAGCCATATACGATGATTAATTTCTTTTTTTTTTCTCTATTCCCGAAATATAAAAGGCAATCCTCGTACAAAGCGTCGACAATATCTGTAGATTTGGTAAAGTATGCTGTGACAGAAGAGTTTAGGGGCCACAGAACTGCTGAATCGTGAGATTTTTCCATTGTAAAGATACTCTATCTACTTTCTATGATTAGTATAGGCAACTGATCAAATGAGTTAACGATTTCGCCGTTAGCTGAAAATTTTGGAATTATAAATGTGGCTAATTAAACTAAACGAAAAACAGTTAGGTACTTATTTGTTGTATTCTACTTAATCATAATAACAACCTGATTGTTATTTTTAACTGCATTCCCGTTACAACTTAATTAAAAACACTAAATTGATATATTAAGATCAACTGATTTTTATATTTAACAAGGTTATAAATAAACTATTTTTGTATTCATCTTCAGGGCTAATCATTTTTAACTAATTGTAAAGTATTTATAATCATTCACCCACATGGTAAGTAGTTTGAAACGAATATCTCCATTATAGCATTTTAAAATCAAAAACTATTTTTCTTCCAGCTAAGATCACTGTCAAAAGCTATAGCGTAATGATTATAACACAAGACATAAAACATTATACATTCTCATTTATAAAAACTAATACAATACCATTTCATTGTACATCTCTTCGGACATTCTCTGAAATGTAAACGAATGTGTCTCTACACCAGTATGTAACTTAACGAAAATGAACACTTAAAAAATAAGCTTACAAAAAAAATCTGTAACTGATTGCTGTGATTTTTTTTTCGTAGGCTTGCAACCCCTGTACCCAACCATAGTTTAAAGCAATTTATACATATAAATTCTTCTATAGTCAGTTCAAAAGAAAAAATATATATGTATGTATAAATATGCACCTATATTTAGAATACGCTGCCAAAGATAAAAATTTATAATAGCAGCTATTTTTATAAGCAAAACGTTTGTTTCTAATAAATCACTCATATTTATTTTCGCGCTTTTCCTATTTTTTACCGCAATGTCCATCTAAATTCCTGGGAATGGATACGGGATATATTTAAAAAAATTGTTACACCTTATTAATACAAAATAATTTTAACTTGTCTTTTGAATGTTTGAAATTGAAATTTTAAATGATACCTACATTGCAGGTAATAAAAAAACCTTAAGTTACTTTTTTCGTATACGTTCCAGCATTAAACCGTGTTATATTAATTAAAAAATGTCTCTTTACGGCTAATTAGAATTAATTTGAAGAAAGCAAATAAATTCCGAACAATAGGGGTATTCATACTATAACAAGTTTTTGGCGAGTTAAGGTAGTGAATGAATTGTTATTTTTAAATTAATTCTATGAAATGTTTGAAACCATAACGAATTAATTTCCAATTAACCTACTAAATTTATAACTATATCGGTTAATTCTCGTTTTTTTACGGTATGAACGGCTTAAATCCGGTCTGGAGGACCAAATTAACAAACTGTAGACTTTTCATAGAAATAATATTTTCTAAAACTTTGTGTTGGGTTAAGATTTTTATTATTACTAAATGACAAAATGTCATTTTGTCTTTTGAATACTTTTATTACTATTAGTTTACAAATTGTAACTGTAATACAAATGATTTGAATATTATTTGAGGGGTACAGAGGTTGACTGACATTATAACTGATTAGATAATTTTATACGCACAACTAGATATTTTTTTAAACAAAAGAGCGTATAAAAAATCTAATTGAACGGTAAAATAATTAAATTAATGTGGTTAAACAAAATTATTACTCTACAAAGTATTGTACGGAAAAAACTAATATACAAAAATAAATAAAAACAAGAACAAAATATGTACAAAAGGCAAAAACCATTCACCGATTTAGTCAAGCATAAAATTTACGTTAAAATAAGGAAAAAGCACAAAAATATCTAACAAAAAAAAAATAAAACAAAATGCACAAAAACAATAAAAAACCTATCACCGTGTTATATTTGATATTTCGATGTAATGTTGATTAAAAATGGAATCAAGTATTACGAATAAGTTGCATACTTTCACTTGTAATTAGTGCAATACTCTTTGTTTATTATTAAAAATAGACTAATAACACCTCATTAAAAAAAACCAGTCGAGTATAGCCAAAAGTTCATTGCCACTTTAAGTCAAGGTTGGGTGAAACACAAACGATTCTTCATCCCATATTAAACAGATGAATTAAAGATATTACTGTAATTAACGTGCTGTGTTACTGTAAGCTTTCTTTAAAATGTCTACAGTATGTTCTAAACAGACCGGATCCCCTGTAACTTGGTATGGAGTAAGTCTTCAATAAATCGGTGACAGAGATCAAATTTTATATTCAAGAGATCGCATTTTGTATCAGATGTAACTTTATTGTGTCCACACCACCGCGAAGAAATCCCCACCCTACAATCAAATCTACCCTTTGCAAATGAAATTCAACCTTTTACAAATCAAATTTACCATTTTGCAAATCAAATCACCTTGTTTCAAATTAAACTGATCTGCTTATAAATAAAATGAACTCGTTCATGAAATACAAACGGGCGGTTTTTGTTTTGACTAGAAACCAATCAAAATTGACTGTTTGTTGCAATAGGATTTTGCCCAATTCTTCCCTCTTTTATGAAAAAAGAAAACAGTACACAAAAATACCAAATCGTTGCAATACATATATGAAAACGTCTCAACAGAATAAAAATACATCTGAAATTGAAATTATCACTAACAATAAGCCAAACTGAAGAATAGCTCGTTGTTCATATGGGAAGAGTTTAATACATTTTGTTTACTGTATTTTTTTCCGTAAAGGACAGGAGTGTCATCATATTGGAACAAATGGTGACAGCTGCTTAGTTGCTATAAGTGTACATTTTTGTGAAACAGGTATTTATGTTTTAATTCATTAGATAGGGATTAAAAGCTTTTTTAATTTTATGAACGTTTGCTGCACTGCTCAATCATCACACAAGCTCCACCTACCAATATTCTGTGAACCGATCTGCAACTTATTCGCAATTTGACCGCATTTTTTTAAATCGAAGAAAATAATTCAAAATGGTAACGGAATATAGAAAGAGGCTTACCTCTCTTATCGTGAGAGTGTGCGATACCATCTGGATGTTGTTTTGACTTTGGCTGTTGGGCAGGTTCTCGCTGGACCTGGACCTCACCAGCTGCCTGGACCCGTTAATCACGTGCCTGCTTTTGAGGAGCATCTCAGTCTTGAGGAAAACGCGGGAAATGTAAGAGGAGCTCAGACCTCTGATCCCGAAAGCGGCCTTCAACAGTTTTTGGGGCGTCACGGGCATCTCCTTGCAGAACTTGTTGAGGGCGCTGTCTACGCCGTTCTTCTGGATCTCCGCCAGCCATTCGGAGGATGACGAGGAGGAGCTCTTGTGGAAGAGTATCAGGATGGCCATGGCGGTCCTGTAGAATACCTGCAACAAGCGGATTTATTTTCTCTGTACATGTTTTCTGTCCGAATAAAGAGAAGTCAAATTTTCTACAAAAGTTTATGTTGACAGCTAATACAAGATGAGTCATAATTAGATGTATAAAATGTGACCGAAACTTCTCGTCAAAACAAAATATTCGCTCAAATAAACCTTTATTCTAAAATGCCTTCTTACAAAGATACAGTTCATAAAAAATAGTATTTTCTTAGTACAAACTGCGTTCCAAAGTAAACAGGACTTTTCAAAAATAAGTACTTGTAGTGAAGCCATCTATTGACAACTAGGAGAATCCCTGATATACTGTCAAAATTTCATGACATTTGACCGAATTGAAGCGGAGTTATTGCGTTTGAAGTGACAGTATGTTTGTGTCATTGGTATAAAAATGAGCATCGAACATCGAGCTAATATTAAGTTTTGTTATAAACTTGGTAAAACTTTTACCGAAACGTTTCAATTGAGGAACCAAGTTTATGGTGATGATTGTCTATCCCGTGGCAGAGTTCATGAGCGTTCATGAGTTCATAAGATGTATAAAAACGGTCGTGAGAACATAAATCGACGTGTTACTACGAAAACATGCTATACTAAAACCGCTGTATCTTTTCCATTGCGTCACAAGCAATATTCGTATGAACTAAGACGAAAAATCCTAGTCAAATTAATCACTGTTTTCATATAATTGAAATGTCGTCTTGACAATTCCCAAATCTGGATTTCTGACAAATTTTAATACTGGTGTTACTGGATATGAAAATATGCCAAAAAAAAAAACGATATTTCAACGCTCAGAAAATATATATAACAGTTAGTACTCAGACGCGATCAAAACAACTGTCAGATTTTTAATCTGAGTGCCAGTTTCGTTTTTAAATGCGCTAGTCAAACTATAGTCTAAAATTACTACCCAACAAACGTCCTCTATTTTCTTTCACGCTAATACACATAAAATGTTGGAACGGCTGTCTGTGATAGATTGAGACTATGAAGACATTTATACCATCATTGTATCTCTTTTTAGCGCGTCTAATAATGAAAACACGCTCGCAACGACTGTCTTTGATATTATGACACACGCGTGACGTAATGGCAATCTTAAATCGGTTCTACTATATCTCAAATTTGACTTGGAAAACATGCTATCTAATATTGTACTTGGAAAACATGCTACCTCAAATGAAGCTTGGAAAACATGCTAGTTCAGATCTTTAAGTAAAAACATGCTATCTCACAAAAGTAAGTGTGACTAGAAATTTAAGTTGGCGTTGAAATGCACATTAAATTATAGAAAGCGAGCACTTATAGAAAACTTTATATAATATATTTTTCAAAAAGTAAGGAATATTTATGTTCAAGGTACACTGTTTATTTTATTTTTTTCATTCAACATGTTTCAAAAGGAAATTGCAATAAAAAGGATTATATAGTGGACCCAAAACTTCGGGTCCTAATCGTTCTTACTACACCTCAATAAAAACAAATGGCTTCCTAAAGGTACGGTAGCCGCGTGTTTGCATAGACTTTGGAAATGAAATGCAGGTATACGATACTCTTATTACCGGTACTTTATGATCTGCTGGGCATCGATGCGACGGTCGCAGAGCATATAATATGCACGTGCACGTTTCCGCGGTGCCTCATGCACTGTACATATCATTCAACTTTATACATTATATTTATATTCTGGTTATTATGTTAACTCTATTAATGAAATTTTATGAATAAATGACGTTTTTCTACAAACTGTTGCATCTTGTTCTTATTTGAAAAGTAACGATTGTAAAAACCGTATTTCACAAAAAAAAAACTGAAAAATTTTTGATATTTTTAATTATGCATTTATAAATACAAAACTATGTGTAAAAATCAAAACTTTATCTGAATGCAAGTTAAGAGCAATTGCCAAGACAATCCAGGTATAGCTGCTCCATACGGGCATATTATCCTGGTAAGATCGATTCGGACCCGGGATTTGGAGCCTAGCTTGGTCCACTATAATCCTTTTTATTGCGGTCTCCTTGGAGTCCGCATTAAGGCATATAAAATTATTTTTAAAATAAAAGGAAGAGTAGTGACTATAACGTCAGATAAGAGTGCGCTATTAATTTTTATATCAAAGCAACTGTATGAAAAAAATCGAATAATTTTTAGTACTTAATAATAAACATTTTTATACGTTTGTTTATAAAAACCGTAGACGTCTTCTGACGAAATTTGATTTATTTTATCTATCCCAGCGGCGTCCAGGGACTCACTCCTGTTGATATTAATAAGTAAACATATGAGACGTCACTGCTTTTTCTTAGGTGTCATGTTTTTTTAATTATGCGATTAAAAATACAACTTTTTGTCCCTTTACTTTTTTTGATATCTTGGTTCGTTTTCGAGCACCCTGATGGGACACCCTGTATAAGTATTAAGGTAGGAATATACTATTTTTTTTATAATTTGTTATTTCAAAAAACGTCGAGTAATGTACGTGTTGCATATTATTCTATTTTTTTAATTAACAATTTTGTCGTTTATAACAGTAACTTAACAAAATTAATAGAAAAATGTTGAATGAAAAAATAAAATAAACAGTGTACCTGAACATAAATAATCTTTAGTTTTTGAAAAATATATTATATAACTTTATTATAAGTGCTCGCTTTCAATCATTCAATGTGCATTTCAACGCCAATGCAGCCAACTTAAATTTCTAGTCAAACTTACTTTTGTGTGAGATACCATGTTTTTACTTAAAGATCTAGCTAGCATGTTCTCCAAGCTTAATTTGAGATAGCATGTTTTCCAATACAATATCAGATATCATGTTTTCCAAGATAAAGTTGAGATAACATTTTTTCGTAGTAACGCGTCGAAATGAAGAGCAACAAGATCAGCCAAAATCTTCAATTTATAGCATTTAGGCCAAGCATTTGGATTACGGAATAGTGTGTGCACAGTTTGTTCCGCACAAGTTAACTGACGACCAAAAATTGCTCAGAATTCAACATTCGAAGAAAATCATCAAGGAGGCCAAAAAGGACAAAAACCTCCTTCACAGCACTGTGGCTGATGATGAGCCAGACGAGCCTAAACTCAAAAAATCTCGTTTGGAGAAGTCAAAAGTGAAGACAATGTTGATTTGCTTTTACGATTCCAAGGGCATTGTCCACGAAGAGTTTGCTCCACCGCCCCGGGCCAAACCGCTAATGTATAATTCTATATAGGCGTTTTGAAGCGTTTGGTGCATCGTATTCGTCGTATTCGGCCAGAATATCGAGCAGAAGGAAGTTGGCGATTGGTGCACGATAAAATACTCCATATCATCATCGATCGACACTTGTGACCAGTTTTCTAACTAAAAATCGCGTTTTAACTATCAACCACTCCTCGTATTCGCCTGATTTGGCACAGTGAAAAAAATTAAATGATATAAATAACACAGCGTCACAAAATATAAAAAGTGGGTTACTTGAAACTTCAACAATAAAAGACATATTTTTCGGTAATAAAAACTAAAGTAGAACTGATATCCATAAATTGCATTAGCAATTTATCTGTTTGCTGCAAAAAAAAAGAGAACAAATAAACAGACGACGCCCTATCTGCGGCCACAAGCCTCACCTCTTTTTATGTAGAGGGCGATTGCAAAGGTTCAAATGTTTTTATTATTCAACATGTTTATCATTAATACAATAATTCTATTTTCAATTAAAAAAACTCTAAATTTGTAAACTTTCTGCATAAAAGTTAATATACAATATAGTCCGTTGATTGACAAACGATCAATAATAATCGATTATCGTGAAGTAGCTAATAGCTAATAATAATTGTCAGTAATTTACAACTATTATTTCTGCAAGACTTATGTATTTATGTTTATCAAATAAATTTTTGTTTTCACTTTATTATTTGTAGAATATTAGATGTCTAGAATATAAGATCGACTGTTGATAGTATCGTGTGTTTAATTTTGTTCCAGATTAGTCAAAAGATCTTTTAATATTCGTTGCCCTTTAACTTTTATTTACTCGTATAGGTATATGTTACAGATTACAGTATAAGTACATAGGGAGATGATGTACCCACTGTGTGTACAAACTATATCTGTATCATCCGGAAAATGTACACCGTAAAAATGTACTTTAACATTCATGTAACATGACAGTCAATTTCACCCTCAAAAATATATATTTCTTATCTATGTTTGTAAAACTGTTACAGCAAATCAACCACTTGAAAATCATTTTCTGACTATCATGCGCATATAAAAAAAAACGATAATAATTGAAATTATGTCCGTTTTGTCAAAGATTTTTTAGTAATTTCCAAATAACATTTCAATGCAATTTTAAAGTTTTATTATGATGCAAAAAATTATAAATAAAATTTTCATTATACAAGTGTGAATAATTACACAGGTCAACAAGGGTCAAGAGGCAGATACACTAATATGCATTCCCGAAGGATTTTGGTGTGCTGAATCCGAATCTGGCCGCAGAATTGCTCTATCACGACAGGTTTTTGAGATATCCTAACCTAAAAGTGCAAAAAACGTTTTTCGTCATATATGAGGTTATGTAGTAATGCCATCTATTCATTAAAAAAAATACATATAATTTAAAAGTACAAGGCTCCCTCTTTCGAATGCCGTTGAGTTTACTCAAATATCTTTTTTTTTCGTAGAGATATCACATGTGGAAATTTCTAAGTTTATCAGTTTCTTAATATGCGAAAATCTACTAAGGATCCTTTAGACGTCAAACAATTGATTGCAGTTCAGAAACTTCATACTCAGAAACCTTCAATACATACGAACTCAAACTCACAAACTCCAAATCCACAAACCCACAAACCCCAAACCCACAATCCCTAAACCCACAAACCCCAATCCCACAAAACCCGAACCTACAAACTCCAAGCTTACAAACCCCAAGCTCACCAACTCCAAACCCACAAACCGTATGGGTATGAAGTTTCTGAATTGCAATCGA